ATATTTTTTTCATGTATACGTTTGATTTCACCTAAATAGACATAGATTACATAAATGAACATCTTTCAAACATATTTGAGTGTATAAAGGGATGTAGGGACCTTGACAACGTAGTAAAACGTGGAGGGGAGAACAGCAGCGGCAGCTGCAAGATTCACCTGAACGGAATTTTTCGGGCTAGTTCAGTTATAAATGACACGTGTCTTGTGCACATTGTGTATATTTAAAAGTGGAAATTTGGTGATTTTACGAAAATTTTTGTATATTTCTGACGGAAGTTATATTGAAAACGATTTTTTCCTATCAAACTTCTGCATAAGAATTTTGATTTCTTCGTTAAAGTAAGTAGATTGAAAATATCCAGTTAATTAGTAGAAAATCAATTAAATAATAGTTGAATTGCTGATTAAAGGTCAATTCAAGTGAAAAAATAATAAAGAATAAAATGCAATAAATTAATTAATGAGGTATTTAATTATTTTCTATTATAGTTTTCGAACAATGGGCTCATACTTTATTACAGCAAGCTTTATCAAAATTGATTTTTGATAATCTTATGGAGCACAATACGGATTTTGTAAATTTATTAAATGATGAAGAAAAATCCATGATTTTTGAAATGTTTAACTATGCTAAAATAATAGAAAACCAAGAATTTCGAGCGCTTGATACAATTTTGGGGGAAAAGTTAGTTGAGCTTGAAAATAAAAATAAAATGTCGAAAGTATGGATTACTTATTTTCGAATGGTCACAATATTGAAGAACTTCATTGCTGCCGACCGTATGGAAGTTTGGAACTTGCATTTACATAGCAGTGAGCTAATGATTCCATTATTCCATGCGTCAGGACATTTTTCCTACGCTAAGGCTTCACAAATTTATCTGCAAGATATGAAAGAATTACATGATAAAATGGACCCCTTGGAATTTAAAAAATTTTCAGAAGAATATTTCACATCTAGGCGTTCAGATGCTTTTTCTCCGGCATTGCGAGGGATCAAACTATTGAGCAAACCTTGATGAAAGGAATGAGCGTCGAAGGAGGTAAGTTCAAACGTGGTGCCACTGAAAGTGTAGTATATAAGTGGATCAGAAGAGTTATTTATAGCCAAGATATTATTGAAGGCATAGAAAATTTTTGTAATATATCTTTCAATAAAAGTCATCAACACAGTGATTCGACAGATGCTAGAATAGATAGGGATGATATCGATGTCAAATTATTGGTGGACTTCTTCATGCAACACAGCCCTTTTCCTGATACAGATGCTATACTATATATTGCTACTGGAATTACTGGAGATAAAGATATTAATTGTTACAATGCTTTTGAACAAGGTTTGACGATAATGAAAAAAAAGAACAAAGTTTACGCGAATTGAAATTATCAAGGAAATATAAAATAAATCCTCTTTTGGTGAAAAGTAGCAAGATTAAAATTCGGCAGGATGTGATTACTGTTGAGCCATTGCTGCTGTTTCAACGTATTGTGTTTTAAAAAAGACCGATGAAGACCTTCAAAATTATATGAATTATGAATTGGCACCATATCCGCTTTGTCTATTTGAAGATGGTGAACTGTGGAAGACCAAAAAGTCAACTTTTCACAAGTTATTCCCGGAAATTTCAATTTAAAGAGTGTAGAAAATGTTCATTATGTTATTGATGAAGGCATGTTATTATATCGTTGCAGATGGCAATTGAATGAAACCTTTAAAACGATATGTGAGAATTATGTAAGATATTTAAAAAATAATTATAAAAATAACACGTACGTGGTATTTGATGGATATAAGAAAGACGGTATTAAGTCAGCCGAAAGGAATCGTCGTGCATTGAAAAATAAATGTGCAGACATTGAATTCGATGAAAATATGCCTTTGAAAATAGCTCAAGATAAATTTTTGTCGAATAATAAAAATAAAAGCCGCTTGATAGAAATATTGAGAATTAAATTATCTGATAACAATATTTTTACATACCAAGCGGAGAGCAATGCAGACAAATTAATTGTTGATACAGCAATTAATTTAGAAACAAACAATGTTGTTATAGTTTCAGAAGACATTGACGTCTTGGTTATACTACATCTTGTGATACTACATCTGCGTTTTTCAATAAAGGCAAAATTAAGTTTGCCAAAAATTTTGAGAAATGTCATGATCTTCACAAATCAGCAGAAGTATTCAAAAATGTCAACGAAGACTCGAATAATATATTTCACAAGCGGGTGTAACCTGTATTTTGGGTTTATACAGAGCATCGGCAAAAATGAAAGATTTGAATACATTGAAATACAATTCTTTCATAGAAGCAACGGCAAAAAATACAAGTGTTCTTTTATCATCGTTACCTCCTACAACTGATGCAGAATTTGAACATCTAAAAAGAGTGCACTTGCAAATCCAAATATGGCTAGGAAATGACGTAGATATTGATAATTGGGGACGGAAGCATTTCAATAACATGCTCATCCCAATAACAATGAATCAATTGCCAACTCCGGATCATCTATTGCAAATATTATTTTGTAATTGCAAAAAGGGATGTGTGGCTGCTTGTGGCTGTCGAAAGAGTGGCTTATACTGTAGTGTAGCATGTCTACAGTGCCGTGAAAATAGTTGTTCCAATACACCACCTATTACTCAAATAAATGAAGTCGAAGATGATGTGTTATATATACATAAAGGTGCATTGTTTAAATAAACAAATATTTTATTAATAATTGTCTTCTTTATTTAAGAAGTATTTTATTGCTATTATAAAAAAAATTTCAAATTTGAAAAAAAAAATAAGATCAATTTTTAATAGGTAAAATTTTTTATATGTATCATTAGCTGAACATTCCATTTGAATTTTTTAATTTCATTCACTGTAACTGAAATCCGAGGTTTTCATGTATTTTTATGCCCCGGGCGCTTCACTACTTGTTTTCTGGGTCATAATGATGAATCCAGGATGCTAAAGTTCAGGCAGCCGTGCACAAATGGATACACGGCCAATCAGAATCTCCCTTCATTAACGGGATGAAGGCATTTAATCACATTTTACAACTATCATTAGCTTAGAACATACAGTAGTTAAGATCAAATTTAATAGATATTTCAATATTTATTTATTAAAATATTTTTACCCTGTGTTTTGTGACATTTCACAGGAATCAAGAAGTATATCAATGCAAATAAAATTGCATTATGTCGAATGCATATTTATTTATCACGTTTTTCTTAACTTTGAAAATTTTGCTAAAATTTCATAAAAAATATATTTTTTAAAACCAAAGGATGGTATAAGTTATTTATTTAATAATTATGACTGCTTAAAAGCCTATTTATATATTCTTTAAAATAATAAAATTCTTCTGAAAATCACCTTTTGGAAAACTGGTCTCCCAACCTAGTCGGATGCCTTAATTGAAACAGATCTCAGTCATCAATTGAGAAGACACTAATATAAATTTGATGGTAAACATCACTAAGACAAATAAGGGAAAATACGCTTATTAATTACTATTGTAATAACAGTTATTTTTTATTTTATTTTGTTTTGTTTTATTTATTTTTTAAATAGCTTTTAGACCACGGTACTTAAATGTTTAAAATCAAAAACTTAATTTTAGTAATAAAGTTTTAGTACGATGTGTTTCACTAAATATCGGAATTAAGCTATTCTGATTTCTATGTAAAACTTTTTTTCTCTTTCAGCTCCTAACAACATCATCTCTGTGTATCCTTTTCTTCTCTGGACCTCAAAGCTTAGTCCGCATTTCCCAGAAGCAAGTACGCCAGAAAACAGCAGCTGTCCTAGGACCACTCAACTCCATTTCTTTTGTTATCATACTTTCCCTTCTCTTCATGGTGTCACAGGCGGGAAAATTCTTTGACGTCGAGAACACATCGAACGCTTCTTTGACACTAGCCAACAACATTCTTCTCATCATCTGTCTTTGCATCCTGGGCATCGAGGCCGTTTATCCTTTGCACTTTGTGATAGAGGATATGGCAACAGATGGACTTCTTTTCAGGACGTTCTCGAAAAAAAGGAAGCCATTTTGTTTCCCTGTCGCTTCATGTGGTGTTCAATGTTTATCCATGATAGGTATTGGTTTGCTGGTGTCATTCCAATCTCTATTACCGTTATTGGTGATGTCAATAATCTTCCCTTTGGTTGTCTACACTTTGGTGCCTTTTCTAGTTCTCATTCATAGGTAAATTGACATTTTTTAAAGTATTAACAATTAAAAACTACGATTTATCCATGGTTCCCAGAAGTTATATTTAGCTATTTTCGTCTCCCTTGTATGAAATTAATACTTGAAAGAGTAGATAAAGACTTTCCTCATACCTAGTTTAAGAAAACTGCAAAAAATAACGATTGCTAAAATTATTTAGGAACAAATCCATTCAACAGGTGACCCTAATTTCGAACATTTATTGGAACTCCTGGGTAGTGTTAGTTGAATATGTACTCAAATACATTGACCCATACTTAGTCAAAATACCAAACTAGATTTCCATCAGCAACTACAGCACACTATCTAACCCAATCCAATTAACAGGGGACCCGATTTTCGAACATTTAATGGAACTTCTGAGTAGTGTTAATTGAATATGCACTTAAGTGCTTTTACCCATACTTAGTCAAGGTACCAAACTAGGTTTCCATCAGCAACTACAGTACACTATCTAATTTTAACACATAAACGGTATACTTTTTTCAATTCCTACAATTAGTTCACAATCTCCCTATATATATCTCGTTTAAATTTTCAATCGTTAATAAAATACTTTCTATTCATTCATTTAAGATCAATTATCGAACTAAACTAACTATTTCAAACTAAGTCAGCCATTAAGTTTTTTTAACTTGTAGTGGATGACACTTGATGTTAATAGAGTTTTTCAAATATTAATTCATTAATTAAATTTAAATAACATAAATAGTTACAAAAAAATAATACTCCAACATCATATATAAAAAGGAAAATCGCTCGTTGTGTCCCTGTAATGCAATGGATAGCACGTTGGACTTCTAATTCAGGGGTCGTAGGTTCGAATCCTAACTAGGTTGGCCTAATTTCTGAGAATGTGATTTATGAATGAATAAATATTAACAAACAAAAATAATAGACAAACACCAAATATAGAAAGGAAAATCGCTTTCTATTTTGTCTCTTAATATTATGATTCTGTCATATATATATATATATATATATATATATATATATATATATATATATATATATATATATATACATATTTATATTAATTGTAATTATGAATAAAAAGTAACTAAAATAAAAATTTTCTTTGTTGACCTAATTAGAAATTGATTTTTAAAAAAATAAATCATATTACTTATTATTGCTACATGGTATCAATTAAGTCGTTAGATAATGGCAATAATGATTAAAAAATATCGTTATATCTCCCAACAACGCATTTTAAAAACAGGAACCGAGTTATGAAATTTTCTTTCGTTTATTTTTCAGTATTTGTTATTCCAAAATATTTATTGCATTATTTTATACAATTCAGATTATCATAATTTTTAATTATTATTAAAATTATTATAATGTAGAATGATAATTAGATAGGCTACGCTTAGTACGGAAATGTGCCTTAAAGCTTTTCTGTAGATGGATTTATACGTTAAAAGTATTAGGTACTGATTCAAAAGTATATAGTCATCTGTTGACTGTGTCGAACGATTATCGAGTCCAACATTAAAAGCTTTAGTGCAACAGTAGAACAACGTTAATTCAATCAAAAGCCTGTTGTTTTGCTGAACTCAAGCTTTTAGTCAATGTTTATGTTGATGTAGACTTAGATATTTAGACATTTAGAGTCCCTCCAATTTTTATCTCTGTGATAATACGCGTTACAGGCAGTAAATAATCAATTACTGTCACTAACTGATTATTTACTGATAGTATCAGTTCAGTACTGATTTATTTAGCTCTGCCTAGGCAACTTTATAAACAATGTAGCGTTGAATGATGTGTTATGTTAGAATAAGCAAAAATTAACGATCTGTACTAATAATACAACTATGGCGTTTAGTATTATCTACATTTAAATTTCTTTTCCTTTTTCAATTCCTACTATTAGCTCACACTCTCTCTATGTATATTTATTTATTTATCTTAGTGGAATTTTTAATTGTTAATAAAATACATTTTAAAGCGCTCTATTGAGCTGAAATTTTTTAGACATGATTATTTTGGATAACAATACAGTAATTTAATAATAATTGATAAAAATTAATTGATAAAAACTAATTATTCAAAGAATTACAAATGCAACCACGTTGACATCATTTTTGGCAACTTAGCGACCATTTTGTCGACTTGTGTTAAAACTTGAAAAGGTCTTTTTCTCACATTTTGAAGCACTCATTTGAGATGAAATTTTCTATACACTACTGTTTTAGGTGAATGTACGATAATTTAATTATAATTAATTGACTGAAAATAATTATTTAAAGAATTGCAGATACAGCCACGTTGGTTTCATTTTTAGCTACTTGGGTCAAAACTTTAAAGGTTTTTTTTTCTCACGTTTTAAAGCATTTAGGTAAACTGAAATTTTATATATACGGTTGTTTTGGATGACAATACGATACTTTAGTGATAATTAATAAAAATTAAAAGCCACTTAATGTTGTTATTCTGTCATATGTATATAGATATTTGTATTAATTGTGTGTAACTATTTAATAAAAAGTAGCTAAAATAAAATTAAGAAGATTAATTAGGAATTGATTAAAAAAATTATATTACTTGTTTGAACTAATTTTTAATTGACTATTTGAATTATGTAGTAGTTATAAATATAGCTTAGGTTGGAAAATTCTCTTCCTTATAATTATCATCTGCTTTAATTGAATATAAAATTCACGGGATCTAATTTATTGGATCACGTAACTTATCTGCTGATACATAATTGCGTATTGTTAAAGCTATGTTGTTTAAGTTGGTATTTTTTGTGATTGTTTTAAATATGTTTTTGTTCATTTGGATAAAAGAAATGTGTAATGCATACTGGTTGCTGGTTGAGCTTAATATGTAATTTCTGTATACTTTCAAGATATTATCACTCGTCTGGAGATCTTTTCGATCATTTGAGGTATTATAAAAATAAAAAAATGTCATTGGAATAAACTTTGAATGCTATTAATCCCATGTGGGGAAATCATCTGTGGTACGGATGCAAATACGTAAATGAATTATACTGGATATAATAATACACAGAACTTATGCAAGAGGTGGGACTAAGTGATAACCGCGTAAGTCAGGGCACAATTTCGCATATAAATACATATAAATAATTCTTAGTTGAGACCGGAGATGAAAGAAAATACAAATTTAAAATAAAAAATGTATAGTAAAATCTTAGATAATACTAATAAAAATCACAAAACGAAGTTATTCTGATGTAAAATGTTTCATACAATCTAAGAGAAACAAGTCTTTTGGCTCAAATGTTTTTTTTCTCCCGCAAAATTTCCTCGTCACATGCTAATATTTTTTTTATTCCTTGTTTTATTGAAAAAAAACACGTTCGCTGGAGTCTATAGTTTCTAAAATTTGTAGCCTTTTTTCAGTTGAACTGGGGCCTTCCGTCAAACTGATCTTTTTATTCAGCCGGGTCTAAAGACTCAAGTTCAATGTCTTGCTCTAGTTCATGCATTTCTATGAGCTTGTTGAGAAAACAACTGCTCAATTCATTGCCAACTAATGGCTGCACGAGCCAAAGAAGTTAATAAACAAACAAATATGTAATAAAATTATAGAACATTATATTTTGAAAAGTAATTAATAAACAAAGAGAAATGTAATAAAATTATAGAACATTATATTTTGAAAAGTAATTAATAAACAAAGAAAAATGTAATAAAATTATAGATCATTATATTTTGAAAAATAATTAATAAACAAAGAAATATGCAATAAAATTATAGAACATTATATTTTGAAAAGTAATTAATAAACAAAGAAAAATGTAATAAAATTATAGAACATTATATTTTGAAAAGTAATTAATAAACAAAGAAAAATGTAATAAAATTATAGAACATTATAATTTGAAAAATAATAAATTTTTGAGATTAATTTCATAATTTTATATTTAGGCATTTGTAATTTACTACATTTTGTATTTTATGTAAAACTAACTGTGTTTATTTTTAAACTTATAAACCTGGAAGCAATGTCTTTGTAACCTTCTCCATTTTACCGGATTGGCAACAGCCCGTATTTTGGTATCAGACTAGTTGCAACGTTTTCATGTTAGCCCAGCTACGCCTAACAAAAAAAATTGTTCCTCGAAGTTTTTTAAGGCAATTTCCCATACTTTAACGTTATAAAACCAAATGCTCATAACAAACTCATCAAATGTCAGCTCCTGATTGTGGGGTAAGTGAGTGAATATTAACGTCGCACTGTTCAGCTACACGAGAGCTTTTGGCGATGGACCATGCAATTTTGAACCATGGTCAAGTGACGTAGAGGACACCTGAGCTGGCACCCCTCTCTATTAACTACCACACCAGCGGGAGGACGTTTCAACTCTCGACAGATTTAACGTGCATCGTTGCCCTACATGGCGGGTCTTTAGTGGTACTGGGCTCGAACTCACGACATGCCTGCCAGGATCCGCTACCTTGACCACTGGGCTACCGTAGCCCTTCCTGATTGTGGGAATCGAGCAGTTCTTGAATTCTTGAATGCCATCACTATCCATTTCTAAAATTATTTTCCTGTCAAGATCGAGAACTTATTCTATCACTTTACCAATTTTATCATGCTCTGGCACTGATTCAGTCTGAGTTTCAGAGATAAAAGAAAAAAATAACAAAAAAAGGGACACAACGCTCAAACAAGAGACGACTCAGCACGATTTGAAAATCGCATAACTCTGGGTTCGCATAAGTTGGGGAAGCTAAGTCAAGGTATTATTGTACTTTTAGAAGTTATGCAGATAAAAAAAGAACTTTTAACTCTACAAAATTTTCTATAAAAGACAAATTTTCAATAAAAAAAGAAGTTGATATCATGTTGCACTTACTTGAAAACTGTATCTGAAATAGCATTGAGCTGTTCTCCAAATCCGTGTAAATTTTTGTAAATGGTCTCAATATATCGTATCAATATGTCTGTGAGCGATTGACCATTGTACACAATATGAAAGGGAATATTTCAGGCATCTTTAGATTTTAATGCTTAGAATATATTTATTTTATATTTTAGAATATATTACTATAAGTTTTATGTTAGTTAGTATATATATTTATTTTGTTTGATTTTTATATGGAAGGAAACTAAATATATTAAATACACACACATTGGATATTTTTCTTTTACCCTTAAAAAGCAGCAAAAACATCACACCAGCAGTAGATCAGATAAGCGCTGTTTATAGTGAAGGTGTTACAGCAAAAAATAATCGTATTAATGGTATGCTAAGCTTAAAGTTGATAAGGAGTTGAAGAAAGTTATGCCTGGTAAACTTGGAAATAAATCCCATATTCTTGAATTTCTACCAACAAACCGGATGATGATTCCAGGAAATTATTGATCGCCATTAGTTTAATTGAAGACAACACGAATGAACAAATTATCAGAACTAGCGAAATGGGAGGTCATCGTGTTTTATTCTGTAGTATTCGGCGTCATATGTCTTTGATTATACGATAAAAGTATTTGGAGTTTGGGAGATCCTGACCCAGTTAATCAAATTCACAAGATATTGGATCCTCAGAATTTCGTATTTATTTAGATCCTTACAAAATTCCTTTAATATCAAAACCTTTAATTCTATTGATTGCATAAAAACTTGATTTGAAAAGATTTCTGTCAAAGAACTTGAATTGATAGAACCTTCAAGTTGTGTGAAAAACGGAAAGAGATTTGGAACAAAATGTTAATTAATATTCAATAAATATGTGTATACTTGAAACGAATCCCTTTAATTTTCCTAAAAAATTGACCTGAATTTCTCGGATAATTCAGTAATTATTTAATATGAAAAAAATTAATTACCATCCTTTATGAATTTTTCAATAAATGTT